GAAAATAATTTCCCATGGAGTTGGAGAAGCTGAGGTCTTGTGCATGGTTTTTTGCTTGTCTCCTGCATCTGTGTGAATCTGTTTGCTGGCGGTGGTTAATATCTCACACTGAACTTTGTCACAGTAAATCTAAGCAGAAGTAAAAGAGCATAGTAAGAGAGTTGAAATGCAGTTATTCAAGGGGGATGCTGTTTGGTTTTGTTTTTTTTTTTTTTCTGTAAAGAGTCTCAGAAAGGCTTATTTGTAGTTTTGCCTGAGATGATAACATATGACATACCCAGACAGTTGCATAAATCTGTATCAGTGATTCTTGCCATCAGCAAGTGATTAATTTTGACCTAGTTATGCATCACCCTGCTGAATCCATTGGAAATGAATTGACAAGTCTTCACTAGGGTCCAAATCAATAGCTCTGCGAGTATGGTAGGTTAGCAGTTCTCTCTGAGGGTTTATTGAGGAAGGGGGATTTTCTTCTGTGTTATTATATCCCATGCTCTGCATGTCCTTCCAAGGATGGTGACCTGCTCATTTTGGAAGTATAGCTGGCAGGAGTGTGAACCACATTCTCCTTTCCTAAGTAATAGTTATCCAGTCCTGAATTAATACCACATGAAAGAGTATTTGGTTCTCTGCGTCACAGACAAATGTGTATTGCGTAGAGAAAGGATAGCACGTAGCAGGACTTGAAAGAATTGATTAGAATAAATAACGAGGAATTTTTTTTCTCTGATTCCTCATTATTAAACCATCTTACTTATCAACAATGTGAATAATTTTAGACTGATACTAGTTTAAGTTGACAGGATAATTTTCAGTTCTAAATAAGGAAAAAAAAGTAAATACTGTGAAGAAAATGTCATAATAGCCTCACAGCAACTCCAGAGTCATTGAGGTTGCCTAATGTATTGTCTTTCCTGTACTGAAAGCAGAAGATGGCCAGCCAACTAAAATGCTTTGAAATGTTAATGGTTTGTTTTCTAATTAGGAAATCTAATTTTGCTTTTCTTCTGCAGAATCAAAATCTGGAAATAATGACATTTGCTAATATTGTTTAGCAAAAACATTTTCACAGAAAGTTGCACACTGATTCTTTTTTTCTAGTGCTTTTTAAAAAATCTGGTGGCTATGGTTTAATCATTGTTATTTATTTAAATATATTCATTCTGTTTTGGAGAAGAATGTACATAGATACTTACTATTTGGTGGTGTTCTCTTATGAAAGCTGTCATAAAATAGAGCAAGAACATTGCTTGAGCTAACATGCGTATTTATAAGGGAGGGTGAAGAGAGCTCCTCCTCCTGGACACAGTACGGTTATGGCACAGTGAGAGAGGGAGCAAAGCTGCCAGCCTTGTTTGGAGAGGGGGAATAAGAGGCAGCTCTCCTGTGCTCTCACTCAGGGTACTTCTAAATTCCTTTCTGTAATGTGAAAATCAAAGATGCCTGTCTGCCTCCCCCTGCACAGACTGATAGACAAATAATCAGACAGTTTAAAGAAGAACTGAGAAATATAAACTTGTGTGGTGGCCACTGTTTCTCTCCAGCACTTTCTGTGGTGTGTGATAAGGGATTTTCTAAAGGATTTAGAACAACTTCCCTTAAGCAAAAAAAGGGAGATCTGTCACACTCTCCATGAGTTACCTACATCCCCCCCTCCTCTTCAGCTTACACCTCCTCTCTTCTGACTTTGGTCTGCTCCAGGAGGGGAGGTGATGAGAGAAGTCTGAAGTGCTTTGCATGGTATTATTTCCCTCTGTGCATTTTTGTGCTGGGGAACAAACATCAAGATTCCCTTTATTAATGACTTAACATCAAGATTCCCTTTATTAATTTTACACATTGCATGTTTTATAAAAAATGGTGCCAGTCAAGGGTACTTTGTGCATAAAGGGAACGTACAGTTCCTTTGGGTCCTGCACATCACTGTGCAGTTGAATCTTCACCTACCAAATGTTTGCAGAGGCACTTGCATAGGTTAGAGCATGAAAAAGTAGCAAAGCTCTTTGGGATGCTACAGTTTTACTGTGTAGAGTCACATGTAGTATATTCACGTTCTGATAGACATCTTCGAGTTTGTAAGAATTGTCCCATTGAAGGAAAGAGGAGCATAACATTGCAAATGAAGAGGACACTGTAGTGATTCTGAAAAAGAAATTTTGAATATGAATTCTCAACTACTGAATGCAATTCTGTTGTAGCATTTCGCTACTTGATTCTGTGCCATCGACCTCATGGGGAGCAATTAATCTTTAAAAAAATGCAACATTAAAATTGTATTAACACTGAAATAGAATATTATAATCAGTCAGAAACTGTCATTTTAATTTCTAGGAATTTCGCTTTAAATTATGAATAAAGTGGCAATAAAAGTACAGCTAGCTCAGTTATTCACGTTGTTACTTAATTTTAAAAACCCCATCTAAAACTAAAATATTGTAGAACCATCACACCTAATTACTTTGTTCAGCACACTTACATATCCAGTCTTTCATCAGTTAACAAAGAATTGCTATGGGAGTGAGTGAGAGCACTGCAGTGAAAACCGGTTTTTTTTACAATTTACATTATCCTTCAATAGTCTCCAAGCATAAGGCTGTCCCTAAAGCACAAGAGGCAAAAACTTTCACAATGGCGATGGATGTCTGTCTGTGTGGTTTCTGGGTTTTTATCTGTTTGTTTTTCCTTTAACTCGTAGAACCACATCACGGCCTTTGCAGAAGTCACATGATGTTGACGCTGATGTATATTCACTCCATTGGACTTCATCTCTTTTCACAGCCCACACACGATAATTGCAGTGTATCAAAAATAAGAAATTTTTAGAAGTCCTATTTCTGACTTGATTTTTACATCATTAAAATGGTACCAACATTTTGAAGAATTCTTAAATACAAGAACGTCACTTTACTTTCTAGCGAAAATATTAACTGTTTACTTTTTGATGGAATGGGACAAACTGAGCACTAATTATATTTATCAATGCTCTCTATTTTGGCTCCTCATTGTTTTTAATGGTTCATGTACCTATTCCAACAGTACTTTATATTTTGATTTTACTTTAATTTTTAAAATCTACATTTTTAATTCAGCATGAACTTGTTTCCATTTGAGGCGATTTCAGTGTGTAAAAACTAGACAAATATTATGTTCTGTATGAAAATGCTGTTTGCACATTGTATTACGCTGTATTCCATGTAAGATACCATTCAAACAGTATGTTATATGTAAGACTGGTGCTTCTGCTTTTGAAGAGAAAAAAAATGCCAATTTTTACTGTAATAAGTATTGTATCATAATTAAAAGTTTATTTATTTGGATATTTTCTTGACATAATTGTAGTTGAATTGTTGTTTTGTAGTTCTTGAATGTCTTGGATGATATATATGTATCTAGGTTAAAAGAAATGAAAATAATATAGAAAGTTTGATCGTTGATATATTCTTTATTACTAATGATATCCCATGAAAGGTTAAGGGCTCCATTCTTAGCTCAGCATATCTGATGGGAAGCTGTGCTAGTCATAAATCATTTAAACAAATTATTTAAGGAAGCCTGCATCTTCTCATATTTGTTGTACACCCTGATATTATGCTGGAAGAATGGGTGCAAAGATAAGAAGCGGGTCACTGGCTTAGTGAGAAAAGTGCATATGAGTTTGTACTCTCCATTTTCATGTTGGAACACTCATGGAAAAAACAAAATGGCTTCATTAGTTTTCTTCAGCCTAAGTGACCAGGACAGGCAGACTTTCTCTCTACAAATCTTTCTCTCTCTTTGTATTTCAGGGCCATATTCTTGCAAAAAATCCTGTCACTCTGTGCGGTGTTGATGAATTGATTTTTCTTCAGCATCAGGCGATGTTATCATATCTCTGTTATCGCTGTGAATAATCAAATTGAGCCTCCCCTTCAAAAGACAGCCTCACTGACTATTCATAGTGAAGTTGTCCTATAAAAATTGAGCACCAAATGGATCTGAATATTGTAGATTCTGAAGACACTCTTAACATCTGCCAGAAAGTTTTCCTCTGGCAACAGCTGATGCAATGCTAGCACTATAAACACATTGAGAATAGTAATGTTCAGTGCAGGCTATTGAACATTCTAGGCCTTAAATTTTCCATAATTCAGTGTATTTCCTGTGCATTAATCATTGTTAGAAGATGTTTGAAACATAAGGCTGTAGAATCAGGTATATATTTTCTATGAAGAATTTTAATGCATTCCCACACAGTCATCCAGGTAATACCTGCTTTTTACTTTTTATTTTAACCTCTGCTTTCATAAAATACAACTGTCTAAATAGTGCTTGGCAAACAGGGCAAGGCCTAGTCATCTTTGGGTGCAATAGAGCACATCTCACAAGTCATTGTGCTAAGCTGAGAATAAAGAAATACATCAGTGGGGAGAAAAGTCCTAGAATAGAGCCCTTAGCTACAACAACGTTACTTAAGTGATTGAAAATCCACCTTTATTAGACTATCAACTGTGTTTACAAAATTGTAGTAGGTCCAAAGTTTGTATCACCATGTTAGGCACACTTACCCTTCTCTTAGTCTAGCTATTTAGGGTCCAAGATACTAATGATTTCTCTGTGCACAGATTTAAATGAAATCTTCACTCATTTTCGCATGGTAGCAGACCTGCATTTTTTATATCTGATTTATAAGATTACCAAGAGGTTCTTTTATGTTAAAAGAGATGACTCTTTTTCAGTGTACTGTATATCATCAGCTTGTAACTGGTCTCTTTCTCTCTCAGGATCTTTCCCAGTCAAATATTTGGGTTAAATTTATCATATTATCTCTGTGAACCAGCAGTGAGAAAACAAAAAGAGAGACACTCTGCTGTATAATGTATTTTTAAATAAAATAATTTTTCATTCATATGTAGTGTATTTTTTTTAGATATCTGCTCTAGAGATATTTTGGTTGATAGCGTACGTATAATTAAATGATGATTTTTAAGTCAACTGCATTTGGCGATACATTTTCACAATTAACCAGGTATCCCCACAGTTAATTACCTTCCCTTAGAGGTGGTTCTGGTGAAGTTGAAAAGCAGGAGAGGAAGAGCTGTATTGCAGAAGAGTCCACAGCCTGTTGGTGAAGGACTTTCCCCAGGATGTGGACCAGCCAAGCTCCAGACCCTACTTTGATTGATTTTCAGAAGTAGCAAGAATTTATCTCTCCAACATCTGTACCTCTCCACTGCCCTGGAGCTTGGGCCTTCGCTCTTCCATTCTGGACCCGAAAAAGCTTTCAGTAGGAACAGTTTGCCAAAACAAAAGTAAGTTGGCATTTTCTGAATAAAATGGCTTTTTGGTGATTGCTTTTAAAGAAATCCCAGCAAGGAGCCTATGACAAACAAACATCATCCCTCATTCAGGGAATATTCTGGTGCAGAGTGGTTCCTGATTAAAAACACTGGTTCAACCATTTCAGTGTTTTGAATGCAGCTGGTTTTATGATCCTTGTGGACCTTTTCTGTATGTACTTCAGTGAAACAGCTCCACTCTATTTATAAATGAGATGTTTAAGAAGCATCTCTGATGCTAAATGCTGCTGTGTTCCTAAAAATGGAATTCATAAGGCATATGGGGACACCAGCTGGGCTTGTATCCATACCATTTTAGATTCCTTTATATGTATTCTGCTGTTTGTTCGTAATCATGAACTGCATAAGACATACAGCAATAGCATCTGGGCTCACATCTCTTCAGCTTTTAAAAATGTTCATTTTAACAATATGTATTAAAAGAGGATAACGTTGGTATTTTTCAGCTGCAATTTTCTTTGCTGTTTGCTGTTGCCTTCTAATTTTGTTGCTGTCCAAGATGACAGTGAGTGTGACAGTCCATTTGCACATTATGTTAGCAGGGAGCTTTTTATACTCTTCTGAAGTCTAATTTTGGTATTTCTGAGGCTTGCCATGCAGAAGGTAGAGTGCACTACATTTTAGGAACAGATAACCCGAGTCTGTTTTGATCAAATACATCCCTGGCCTTCTGCATAGCCTTGGCCTTGGGAACACTTGGGAGTATTTGCAGGTGGAAGGGCGAGCAGCAGGGGAAGACCCTCTCAGCCCTGCAGCACCTCCCTCCAAGTACACCAAGAGTGTTTTCACCAGGCTCTGCCTCTGACAGCTGACTCGACCCCAACACACCAGACTTCCCTGCTGTACACCAGCACTTTTCATCTCCCCTCAAGTACCTTTGAGAAACTGGACAGATCAGGCAAGATACCACGCCCTCACCCTGAAGTGTACTACCAGCACGACTGCAGCTGGAGCCAGCGGCTGCTCGGTTCTCACTCGGACAAGTGGAAAGCCAAATGAATGGGAACCTATTGTGGCTTCAGCTTTTGGCCTTCTCCTCCACTTTCTAGGCCTTTTGGTTTTCAGAGATTTCCGCAAAGGAAAGTAAAGGAAAGCTTCACAGTCTCTCTGCCTGCTTGAACCTCTGCTGCATGCCTAGGGTTGTGCAAGCTTCACTCTTGCTATTGGCCACCAGGGACTTTCCACTAAAACACAGTGTTGCCTTTTTGTCATCCTCACCTGTGTGAGGATGGCTGAAAAAGCTCCTTAGGGTTTCCAGGCTTGACCTGATGTTCTGGGAAGACAAAACTGTGAACACCTCAGAAATATTCCTGTCAGGATGGGAATTGGAAGCTCTAGTGTGACTGTGTGATAAGCCTGGTTGTTTCCTCAGCACTTGCTGAGTTGCCATGCCAAGGTACAACTCTGACAGGTTTGCTTTTGCTACTAAACTGCCTATATTTGTCCCATCCACTTCCAACACAGAGGATTAGGTACTTGGTTCCCTGCTCGATACTGGAGCTTGTTCTTTCTCTGTAGAGAATCCTAGGAAGCGCAGCATATCCTGTATGAAACCTGTCCCCAGTGTCTGATGAACACTATCGCAGACAAGTTGGTGGTAAGATAGCTGTTATGAAGACTAACTTCGAAGATGCTTTGCTCCCACTTGCCTAAAAGGATACCATGATCCAAGCATGTTTGATGATCACTCTAGCTGGAAGCAATATAACCAGCTAATGGCCAGGCTCCAACTACTTTTTTTCTGAAGATGATGGTGACATCCAGTTCTCTGCCTATCATGTCCTTGAACTCAATTTCTTCCATTCCAGTTGTCAGCTCTTGATGTTACATTCTGCTGTGAGATGTGATATTCACGAGGCATAAGGGGAGAGCAGCTCTGTTCATCGGCAGACCATTTTCGATACCCTTACATGTCTTCTGCTTTTCATCTGTTATCATCAGCTGTGTAAAACATTTGGAAGTAAGTTAATCTAATTGAATTAGGACAATTTAATTCTGAATAAAAGTATACACCCAGAGGTTTTAGATTATTCTAGCTAATCCACAGCAAATCTCTAGCTGATTCAGATAAACCGTCCTGAATTGTCCCCTGTGTGGACAAGTCCTAAGCCTGGTTTTTTCCCAGAGGAGCTCTACTGTTGTAATATCTTCCCCTAGTGACTACAGCCAGAACAGCGTGTGGCAGCCAGTTTCCTGAAGTGATCATATCAGCAGAATAATGATCTCTAAATTTTGCAGCTGCTAGTGGTTTCATTAGTGGACTGGGTGCAGAGGGCTGCTCTTGTGCTCTGAAAATGATTAAGAAGGGCACAATGGTAATCTCCAACTGTGAAATTACTGAATCCATCCTTTAAGATGGGGGCTTCAGTAGAAGCCCCAGTAAAGAGTTTTAGTCCCCAAAACCAAATTCTTTGCACCAGTGTTCTCATCTGACAATGTTCAGATCTAAATAAATAAATAAAAGTAAGAAACCAAACCCTTTTTCTGACAAATCTCTCCCTAAATAACAACGTTATACCTAAATATACCTAAATATACCTAAATACTCTCTGCAGCTACAGGGAACTTGTATCCTTGCTGGCAATCTTTACTGTGGTTCTGAATGTGAGATCCTTGAGTTGTGAATTCCTAGGATTGCTCTGAAGTAGGCAAATAACTCTAAAAAAGGGAGTAAACATGTCTACAACTGTAATAGAAAAACTAAAGAGCTACAAAATGAGAAGGGGATGAATTTCAGAAGCAGGGTAAATGCCTTCTTACACTCTTCAGTAAATGTGCCAATTTGAGGTAGATTTGCTATATTTTTCTAACTTAAAATATCAATACTTTAGTGGATAGCATTTCTACATTTTTTGAATACTGCAGTAGAAGAGAACTGCTGCTCTTAGTCTGCTGTTTCTGCTAAGACATCATCTGCTGTTTCATCCTCTTTTGCTACTGTTGCTTAAGGAAGCAGCTACTCTTCCTTCCTTAGCAACCTCTATTTATACAGTAGCAACTGACAACTTAAAGATATTCTATTCAAATATTCTAAAAATAAGTCTGATGTGATGAGAATAAAGTGCTTATTTAGGAAAACAAAAGAAAAGCCCCTTTGGCTCTCGTTGAAGACAGGGGACTTGAAGCTAATCCTAGTCGGAAACACCAGGAATAAAACAGGACCCTTACCTTTTGACAATACTTTGCGTTTTTGTCAA